CATGGTGATTTACAAGTATGTTGATAATTTCCAAACATTTGGGAGAGGGGGGGTTGGTTTCCAGAGATCCAAAATTGATTTCCTGTTTAATTCCATTGTGTCAGAGAACATAGTATGATTTCAATTATTTTAAATGTATTGAGGCCTGTTTTATAGCCTAGTATACTGCCTATCCTTCTGAGTATTCCATATGCACTTGAAAAGGAAATTTCTATTCTCATGTTGCTGGGTCAAACGTTCTGTGTCAATTACACCAAATTGACTGTTCACATTTGTTCGTGTCCTATGTCCTGATTTTCTACTTGTTCTATCAATCAGTGTTAAAGGAGGGTTGAAATCCACAACTATAATTGTAGATTTTTTCCATTTTCCATTCAGCAGTATTAGTGTCCTATTATTAGTCGTATAAATACATTTCTGTTGTAATATACTGTTGTGTGTGTGTGTGTGTGTGTGTGTGTGTGTACAAAAGAATGATAGAGACCTGTAAGTATAAAGGAAGATAACATTCTATTGGGAAAGGCAAAAAAGAGAATATACAAACATGTAGAAGTTCCCAATGTCAAGGAAGAGCTTGTTTTGAAAATAGATGTTGGTCTACAGAACAGTTGATTTATTACATTTAAAAATAACATGTTGATTTCAATATGCCAATATTTACAAATTCAAAATCACACCCTTTGCAACTGTTTACATTTATAATGAACAGTTTTAAATGGCAGAATCAAAGCTCCATTGCCCATAGCAGTGCCCTCAGTTGTGCAGATCTTGGCTTTTTCCTCCCCACTCCCCCACTTCCCTCTTCCTCACTCCAAAACTTCCTTGGCCGATCACTTAAATACAGTAAGTACACTTAAGTCTGGTCTTCAGATCCATTTTTAGGGGTACCCCAAGACAGAAGTACCGGGAGTGGATTGTAATTTTTCAAAATTCCTATGCAGAGGTCAAAAAACATCCAAAGACCATTTTTTTTTAACGTATTCTATTTTCCCCAAACCCCTCCACCTACAAATCTAATTATCTTTCCTTTCTTTTGCCTCTTTGCACTGATACCACCCATCTCTTTGAAAAAAATAGGTTTTTTATGTTTCTATTAGCCTGTAGACTAGGACTTTATTGATTCTATATCCAGCCACATAACCTGATGGCTGGAACACGGATGACACTGAAATGTGACTACACTTAATTTGCAACCCCATAATTTAATAAGAGCTTCTAGGTACCTTATTTGCTTCATTTAACTCTCAAAACAGTCGTTAGGCATTATCCACATTTTATAGATAAGGAAAGCCAAGCTCAGAGACCGCTGCTGCTAAACTGCTCGAGTGAAAACTCGAGTGGCAGATTGCAAAGCTCATGCCTGCCCCACGACTGCCAGGTCACTGCTCACTGACACCGCCCCTCCACGGCAGGCACAACGCAGGGGACTGCAGGTCGGAGGCCTCGACTATGGAAGAGAAATCGAAGCTTGAATAACTGTCGGGGTTTGTAGAAACACAACAATGGAGAACCTCCCAGAAGAGGGAAATGTTAAGAAGGAAGCAAGCACAGTCTACAAGTGAGGCTGAATTGAAATGAACTGGAGATGCAGATCACACAGAACGGATTTGGTTTGAAATGGTCACCAGTGGCTTCAGAGAAGGAAACTGAAACCCACCTCTGCTAGGAAGAGACCATGGGCTCGAAGAACACGGGGTTTGCATCTCGGACCTGCCACGGAAGCCTTACCCAGGACAGGTGTCTAAGTGTCTGTACGCTTCAGCTTCCCTGTCCCGAGAACCTTCTTGTTTGCCCCCAAGCACACAAGCCTGAAATCGGGTTCTGCAGGTAACGTACAACACCGGCACGAAGCAGGCACTCAGGAAGTCTTAATCCTCTGGCCTGGCAGGGACCATTTTCCTGAATTACAATGAAGACAAACAAGGTTAGCATCTCAGGGGCCAGAAGTAACCCCTCCATAGCAAGATGTGCTGAAGAACTAGGGGGACGGCGAAGAAGTCAGCACAGGCGGGGATGGGACGGATACGGGGTTTCAAAAGGGGGTTCTCTCCACGTCCTGTCACAGCAGAGAGTGAAGCTGGAGAAGGTCCAGCTCACTGGAGGGGAACTGGGGTGCTTCGTTTCAAACGTGTAGAGCATGCACGTGGAGAGGAAATAAGTCAGTGAAAACACAGAGTGTCAGGAAAAAGGGCTTTACCTGAAATGAGGAGAGGGACCTAGTTCCTTTAAGGAAGTAAGTCAGAAGGACCGCACGCAAGTACGAGGAAGCAGATTCCCCTGGCCACTACCACGCTAAGGATCCCTCCCACCAGTGCTCCTTCTCTTCTGTCGGGGCAGCAAGGAGAAAGTTATCTTTTCGAGAAACACCCTCTCTAGTTTACTGCTTATACTTAAATACACAGATTTTTTTAATCCACTCATCTGAAACCTCTCACAATGGACTGACTTCTCAAAAACGAATTCATATTCTTAAACAGGGAAAGGCTCAGCCAACTCGTTGCTAAGACGTCAACCAATTGCTGATATACTCTATATCGAAAGGATATGTGCGTGAAAGTGATCTGGCATAGATTTTCTTTAAAAATCTAAATTAAAAAATTCAGACTTTCAATTCAGACACGTAGAAGCAGAGCCAAAACTGAGTAATCTAGGTATTAATGGGAAGCCTCCCGTTTGCTGGCTTCTAACAAGTAAAGGGATCCGATTACAATGTACTCCAAGAACAAATGCATGTCGATTTAACTGTGGCCCCTTCCCAGGGACTGAGAAGACAGGTATCACTAGGCACAAAGGGTTTCTGTGTACGTGACAAGAACCTAGGCAACGCCACTATCCATAGGTTAAGGATGCTATTCGCTCCACTCTGGAGGGGAAAAGAAAAAGATACAAGTTCAATATCCGGAATTTAACTACAACAGAGAGAAGATTAGAGCCATTCTTTTTTTTTTTTTTTTTTTTTTTTTTTTTTTTTTTTTTTTTTTTTTTTTTTTTTAACACGAATGAAAGACATAGTTATCAATCTTGAAATACAGGCATTAGCAAGTTTACTCCACACATGGAATACAGGCACTATTATTATTTTTTTTTACTTTAATATGCAAATTTAAGCAAGTATCCCAATCACCTCTACGAAAGCTTTTCATTTCCCAGTAAGACCTCTGACAAAGTGAATGCAGAACGAGTGAAATACACAGGACCTTATGTTACGTCTGTTGGTCTTTGGCACATTTATCAAGTTGGAAAATGTCAGAAGGCAATAAAAATTTCGAATGACTGTTTTGCACATTCTTTTAATCGTCTTTACATCAAAATATAAGGCCACAAAAAGGCAAGCTGAAATTTCAGGATATGTGGAATAGTTTTAATAAAGAGTTTTACATACAGTACCTTACATATAGAACAGTGTGTTTGCAAATTTAAATAATATCTGAATGTACAGTGGCATGTATTCTTATCAAAGATAAATTCAAGTTTACTGTGTATCAGTTCTACAATGCATTTACACAGATCGCTAGAACTGATAAACAGAATGAGGCATAAAATATTCAAGTGTTATATCATCAAATAGCCTCCTCTTAACAGTCTTTTTCCCCCTTTTTAAAAAAGTTTCAAAACCTGTACATACATTTTTAATTTTTAAAAACAGTCTGTTAAAAGGTAACATTTCATGTTAACCACCAACTCTTATAGTCTATAGTAATAAAACTAGATATGTGTAGATATAAATATGTGTAGACTATGTACATATGTACGTTGAGTGTTTGTTTCAAACAAGCACACGCGGACGCACACCTGCGCACAAAGCATGGTGGCACACGACTCACAAGGGCACTGGCAGACAGGAGGACCCGGGCCCGAACTCCAGCAAGAGCTAACTCAGCAACTTATAGTCGCCTTTGGTTTCAGAAATTTGTCCATTTGTGACCAAAGCTAAACATTTTGAGTGCGCGTGTATTTTTTAAAAATAAAATTCATCTTCAGAAATGAAGCGTTTCCAGTATTCCACTACCAGCAGTTAAAAAAATCCACAGCCACAAATTGTTTCGACATTTTTGTCACTCCTCATCCCAGCTGAGGTTATTTACAATTTTTATCTGAAGGCAAACACCAAGCATACTCAGGATCAAGCTGTACGCCGATGCCTGAATACCGCATTCAACTCTACAGAGTACGTGTGTCCCGTGTAGGACATCGGGTGTCTGATGGGCTGACGGCCTATGTAAGACGTTGGGAGTAGAACTCCCGGGGTATTTAACGTTCTCTCCCCAGCAGTGTCATCGTCATTTGGCACGCTGACCCTTCTGTGAGCCATTCTGTTTACAATGAGCTTACTGCCTGCAAAATAAATTCCAATTATTTGGCATTTGTTTTTAAATATGTGATCATAATGAAGCAAGAATTCCACAACTGTTTTCCTGGGAAGTGAGGCTTCCACTGTCAGTTTTCTGATTAAGGACATTCATCACCTAATAAACAGCTCATGATCCTATAGAAGTTTAAATACTCTAAACTGCGGTGCAGCCGGACGAACTGTGGAGAAGACAGTTCGTATAAGCAACCTTACGGAACTCTCCGGTATTTCCATTTCCTCTACAATTTTGCTGTAGGCCAAATTCTGCTTCGTTACATGGACCTCTCTACTAAAAATTACATAAACACACCATACTTCTTTCTACAGGTATCTCGAGCTTCATGTAAGCAACTATTCAAAACTCCCGCCAACTCGATTTCCTTGGCATAAGTTATATTCCACGTCATTGATCCCTGGCATAGATCACATTATCGTTTGTAGCTTGCTCATAAGCTTTTTTTTAACATCAGCTTCCTTGATAAAGCTGTTCTTCATTTTCCTTTCCAAGGTGCCATCCTATTGATGTCACAAATCAGTAAATGACCAAACAACACTAAGCTTTTTATAACTATCCACGTAGCAGTCATGTGGATAATAAAAACGATCGCCTGAAGAGACCCACGTTCTTTTCATTCGGCTTTCACTGCTGTCATACGGAGCAAAGAGTCGCTATCTGCTGCACTTTGCCCATGTCGATTAGGAGCTGTTTGATATGGCGTTTAAGTTGGGGCAGTCTCGCAAGAGGATCCGGTGGCTCCAACTCCCCTGTGAAATCAAGCCAGCTTTCCAGAACTAAAGGAGAGAAGAGAACAAGCAGATTGAAATGGCAACTGGGAGGAGCCACAAAATGGTGTAACTGGGAGGCTGGGGGAGGGTGGAGACAGAGACGACGTCCCCTCCTCTAGAAGGGCCAACAGACTCACGCCTGTCCAAGGGTATAGCATCCGTTCCACCTATCCCACAAGAGCTCTAGTGCTTCTTGGTGATTTTGTTGTTATTTTAGATAGTTCTTTCCTTTCTAGGTATAAACTAATTTCATTTTGAACATCTCCTTCTACTCTCTTCTGAACAGGAAATAACAGTTCCCTGTGCCTGCTGAAGCTTTCTATTATTTTAGATTTAAATCCTCTCCACTCCATTTTCAATGAAATTTAGCTACTCTCACCATTGTTTTTCTTAAATCAGGAAGTTCTTAACAAAGGAAAGGAGGTGGCAATTTCTCAGTGGCCCTTTCAGTCCCACTATTTTATCATTACTTTTAAAAATGTGCAAGCACATTAGAAGTCTAGGCAGAATACAATTAGTTATTCTACACTTTTTATTAATAATAAGGGACAGTGTCAAGTTGCACATTGTTTTCCCTTCAGAAATCTACTCAAAACATTAAAGTAACAAAAAGCTAGCTTAAACCCAATGGAAGATGCTTTTGAAATGGGTTTCCATTTACTCTTTTCTCAGGGAAAAACAAAGCAGTAGGAGTTCTAATTTAGTGTGGGGTGAAATTTAAAAATGGGAATATAGGGGCGCCTGGGTGGCGCAGTCGGTTAAGCGTCCGACTTCAGCCAGGTCACGATCTCGCGGTCCGTGAGTTCGAGCCCCGCGTCAGGCTCTGGGCTGGTGGCTCAGAGCCTGGAGCCTGTTTCCGATTCTGTGTCTCCCTCTCTCTCTGCTCCTCCCCCGTTCATGCTCTGTCTCTCTCTGTCCCAAAAATAAATAAAAACGTTGAAAAAAAAATTAAAAAAAAAAAAAAATAAAAATGGGAATATAATCCATGTATGACATTAGGAAAAGAACCAAAACACTGGATTAGGAATTAGGTAATCTTACCCTATTTTCTCAACTTTCCTGTCTATACCCTCAGGCTCCTGTGTGATAAAAACAAAACTATAAAAGAAAACCATTTGAAAATGTGTCTGCACACTTAAGGTTTACCTATCCAGCTTGCAGGAGTTTCCTGTTGTTAATTTTACTGACCTACTGACCAAAGTGATAGCAAAGATACAAAGGATTTTCCCCCATATTTTAAATATGCTTAAGGTCCGTAAACTAACTTCCAAAAAAAAAAAAAAAAAAAAAAAAAAAAAAAAAATCACAGTTCAATGAAACTAATAAATATTCCATATGTGCTTTATACTGCATCCAGCAAATGGGCAGTATTTAATAAATATCCAACTTTAGCTTTTATTTGTTTTTATTTTTTAAATTTTAATTAAAAAAATTTTTTTAAATTTTTTAAATTTACATCCAACTTAGCATATAGCGCAACACTGATTTCAGGAGGAGATTCCTTAATGCCCCTTCTCCATTTAGCCCATCCCCCCTCCCACAACCCCTCCCGTAACCCTCAGTCTGTTCTCCATATTTAAGAGTCTCTTATGTTTTGTCCCCCTCCCTGTTTTTATCTTATTTTTGCTTCCCTTCCCTTATGTTCATCTATTCTGTGTCTTAAAGTCCAATAAACACCCAACTTAAAAACAACCAAGATAATATCCAGTCATACTGTCTTCAGCCTAAAACACCCCGAATGCCATCTGTGTTAAACGAGATGTAAATGATCAAGACGCTCCATCAGGACAGACAGGATCTACAGTTCCCACCCCGTAATTCACATAACACTTCACATAATGTCTCTGTAACAACAACGGACACTTTACATACTAGAGTCACTGTATTTTAGTTCTTTCTTAAAATTACCATCGACTTCTTTTTCTATTAGGTCCATCCTGCTGGCAACTTCTTTCTGGACATTCTCTATGTGTGTAAGGAGATTGAGCTGCCACTGAAGATGTGCGTGTCCTGAGTCGTCAGTGCTCTTTTTATCATTATAAATAAATACCGTATTCCTTTCAGCTGGATTCTTCTCCAAAGAACCATTGGGAAAAAAAAACAGAATGGGGCGAAATATAATGTCATAATGGGAAAGACAGCATGAAACACCTCATTACCACAATGATCAGTGAAATCCAACCTGACTCACAGAACAGTCTTAAAGGAAGTGCTAGCATATAATTACATTTTATCTGCTGGTCCTTAGAAGAGCAAAAATGCCTTCCATGTCTCTCCACGATGCCTCGCACAGGGCCACACAGGGTGGAAGTCATTCAATAAAACATGCTAAAGAAATGAAGTCGCTAATGATACTCTGTAACTAAAAAGCCCAGCTAATTTTAGACTGACCCCTTCTTCGATTAATCCAAACTAAGGACATAAGCGGAGTGAAGGCAGAAAGCAATGACGGAAAAATCATGAAAACTGGCAAAGGCCAGTTTAAAGTCAAATTAACTGCAGGCTGTAATTAACTGCTGCAATTAAATCAATGAGGCAAGAGAAAGTTAAGAATCTTTTAAAAACTTAAAAAAAGTGTAAACTGCTTAACACATACACAGAAAATCTGAACCGAGACTCACCAGGAAGAATTCATTTCATAAAAGGGATATGCATTTCACAAAATAATTTGCCACAAATATCAGGAAATGTAAGCTTCCCAAATTTATTTACCGTGATTTCTTGATGAAATAGGCCAGAAAAATAAAGGATTATTTTAGTGGCATTACTAGCTGAAAATCAATGAAAAATGAGGAAACGGCATCACTAAGACAATCCCTGTGACTAGGAAAGAAGTTTATAAATACTCAGTGTACAAAGAGCTATAAAAACCCACTGTATCGCCTAATGGAATTGATACGCAGACACAAATGTGCTATGGTTTTAAAAAGGTTAGAGCACCATCTTTTATCTGAAACACACAAAAAGAGCAGACAAATTATATTAACATATACACACACACACACATTCTCACACACAGACATCTTCATTTGGAAAAAACTGTGGCTCATGGTTTTCGGAGGCATCTAAGTGCATTTATAAAACTGAGACTTTGGTGAGGGCAAAAGTTGACTGCATCTACAATTCTGAACTAGGGGATAATTAAATGTTCAAATGGCCAGTGTTTTCTTATAGAGATGCAAAAGATGTTTTCACCCTAACCAGGCACCCGTGAACTTGGAAATATAAGCATAATTTTACTGGGAATTCAGTTGTCTGATTTTAGAAAATTTTCCTACATTCTATCCTATCTTCCAAGCCAAAACAAATGAGATAGTTCTACCTTGTCAGGCATCCCATCTTCTTTCACTGAATACTGTGAACGGTTTTTATCTTTCCTGCGGAATTCTTGTTCTTCTTCAAAACTGCTAACATCGTCGTCGTCTGAGCTCCCAGGGTCTGCGAGAGATTTGCAGTCTTGACCAAAATTTTGTGGCTTTTGGTAGCTGTGCTCACTTGTTATGTAAGTTCCTTCCATTTTTAGGGGCACACGAGGTGGTTCTTTATGGTTCTGAACATGGTATTTCTTCTCCTCAACACTCCCTGTGTCTTGTGCTGTCATTTTTTTCTCTACCCCCGCAATTCCTTGATCTTGGTCTTTTCGCTTTCCAGGACAAGCCCAGAGATGGAGGTCGGGATGATGTTTATTCCTTACAACAAAGTTGGAGAAAGAGCAGTTCAGGAAAAGACAAGTTTCAGAATGTAAGATGATACAGGTAACCCTTCATTGTCCGTGCCCGTTTCACACCAAGTGTGCACGCTCAGGCAGACTGACGTTTCACACCAAGTGTGCGCACTCAGGCAGACTGACGTTTCACACCAAGTGTGCGCGCTCCGGCAGACTGACGTTTCACACCAAGTGTGCGCGCTCAGGCAGACTGACGTTTCACACCAAGTGTGCGCACTCAGGCAGACTGACGTTTCACACCAAGTGTGTGCGCTCAGGCAGACTGACCCCACTTCCCCAATGAAAACCTAGACTCCCACCCAGGGAACCGGGTTAGGAAGAGGGCAGGGACTCTAGACAAAAGCAGATGTACGCTTTAGGTTAACCTGCCCCAGAACTTAAGCCAAAGTTGGAATTCTCACGATTTTACAGAAATAATACTGAGGTAGAAGAAAAGCAATGGTGAATGTAATTCTGTGGACAGTTCACAGCAATACTTCATATACGTGCACTTCTTTTTCTGACTTTTCACTGGATTTTTTAAAATCGTATGGCATGAAAAACTTTTATGTGAGTCCATTTTAACAGCTTCCTTCGATCAAAAAGTGATACTTGCTCCTGATAAAACATTCAGGCAATAAATGTGTACAAAGGAAAAACCTCCCTGAGTGGCAATCATAAAAAAACTGAGGCATAACCTTTCAGACATTTTCTATACATATAAAATTATATTTTACCTATATATTTTTTTAACTATAGGTCTGACAAAGAATTTCTACTTTTGGTTTAATTACTCTTTTTAAAGGGGTAAGCATACACTTTCTCTTTTTACACGCATGGGGCTCTCAATTTGCCTTCTTCGCATATGACCCATGTGGGAGCTTGCCACATCAGGACACAGACGTTTCCCTTAACTCTAGTAGCTGAACAGTATCAATGTGCCACAGTCTGGGCTCACCAGCCAATCCCCCACCTACCGACGTGCGTGCGTGTTGGTGTGATCGCTGCACACAAGTGGGGACTTTCAGTCAGATATGGAGCAGCTAGATAATGGGTACACGTTTTAAATTGGGAAGTAACTGCCCAAGTGGCCTCCAAAGAGGTTGTACTAATTACACCCTCACCAACAGTCTACAATGACGTCCTTTTATCTACCCCCATCCTCACTAAACATGTGAGCATGTGACACTGCACAGCTAATTCATCATTAAAATCCTTCATTGAGTACACAGGAATTCTTTCATCAGAGGTGGTAAGAAAGGAGGATATTCAAGAGGCATAAACCTTTCAGAAGGCTCAATAATGTTTGTGAATTATTTCCAGATTAGATAAATACCCAGGGGTCAAATTAGTTTTCTTCTAATACCCAAGTATTATTTCTGAAATTATAAATTTTAACTTTTGAACCCTTAATAATTTAGTAACAGAAAACACTAAAATTCTTACCCAGTAAGAGACATAGCAGAAAGCTGGTTTTATAGTCTAACGGTCCAGTGGGTCGAATCCTACTGTGCCACTGAGGATCCTAGACAAGTTACATAACCTCTGTCTTTGACTACCCACCTATCAAATGAGGTAGGATCTATTTTTCAGGCTTATTTTAAGGATTAAATAAAATCTCGTATGAAAGCACCGATTTCTGGCATGAAGTAGACTTTATTTTCAGACTTTCAATAAATAGCTAATGACAACAAATTCTATCATTAGAAATATTAACATAAAGAGAGGCCACAGACATGAGGCCAAATCGGTCCAGTTTAAACCCTTATCGAAAGAATGAATGCATTGAAATTCAAATTCCTATCAAGGACAACCAGGCTTTCATCTTTTAAGTTTACTTTTTTTTTTTTTTTCTTTTAAAGTAATCCCTCCACCCAACATGGGGCTCGAACTCACAACCCTGAGATCAAGAGTCGCATGCTCTTCGGGGGAACCTGGGTGGCTCAGTCGTTGAGTGTACAACTCTTGGTTTCAGCTTAGGTCATGATCTCACAGTTCGTGGGTTGGAGTCCCGCATCTGGCTCCGTGCTAACAGTGTGGAGCCTGCTTGGGATTCTCTCTCCCTTTCTTGCTCTCTCTCTCTCTGCCCCTTCCCCGGCTTGTGTGCACATGCAAATACACTGAACAAAGGAGAGTCAAGATGGTGGAGAAGTAGAGGAATTGGAATTTATCTCATCCCTCAAACACAGCAGTATTGAGGTCAGAACACTTGGAATTCCAGGAACCCAGGCTGCAGAGTGACAGAAACATCTTCCCAGGTGTCGGGAGACAGCTTGGCAGGACAGAGGTGGGTGTTTGAAAATTGGGAGAGATAAAACATGTGGCGTAGGCATGGAGAAAAGGGAACCCCTTTGATGGAGAAACAAAAGGAAGAGAAAGAGAGGCTGTGGAAGAGTGGGGTTGTGTTTGGACAAGAGAAAAACCTCTCTGGACCACAGACAGAATGAAAACTACAGCCTCAGGAATGAAGATCAGAGTTTTCAGGGTTGCATGACATGGTCCGGACCCGAGCCCACCGTGTGCGTGCCCCTGGAGGGAAAAGGAGCTGGCCCGGGGGTTCTGTAATGATCTGGGGGCACACTGGGAGAGAGCAGTACCCTCCCTTGAGTACTGTGGGAAGAGGGTATACAGGGTCAGGACAAAAGACCCCGCAGGCGCCAGCCAGAGGCCCATTGTCGACTAGGGGAGTGGCGCTATGGTTCTGGAGAACCAGGCCACGTAGAGTGGGATCCTTTAAGACATCAGGATTTTAATCTCAGCCAAGCGCCTGGGAGGCACGAGAGACTGTGGAGCGGGACAAACCGGCTACCCGTGCCTGCGCAGCCCTGAGAGGACAGCCTGAACAGTGTGGTTTGGGACACCCCGTAGAGGGAGGATAGACTGGGGTGTTGCCATTTTTCTCCCCATCACCAACAAGGTGGAGTTTCAGGAAACAGGACAGCGGCCCCGCAGTGGAGGGGGGACCTCACCCCTCTGTGCCCGGTAACTGCGTATCTACGAGAGACTGACACTGATTAAATCGGACAGACCCTCCTCCAGACCAGCACAGCCACCAGTCCCAGGCAGCGACACCCAACTGTCCTGCAGTTTTGCATTTTCTGATTTGATTTTTGGTCAATTCTTATTTTGAATGTGTGTGTGCGTGTGTGTGCGTGCGTGCGTGTGTGTGTGTGTGTTTTTCTTTATGTTTCTTTCTCTGTTCGGGTTGTCTGTTTAATCAGGCATTTTACTCTATTCTTTTTACACCTGTTCTGTAACTCCTTCTTTATTTTCCTCTCTCTCTCTGGATTAAGCCTTATAGTTTCTTTGATTCTCTGCCTGGTCTTTTTTTTCCACCTCTGTCATCTCTCTCTTTGTATGGGATAAGGCTTCTTCCAGCCCCTCCTCCACCTTTTTCCATTTTTTTCCAGGGTTACTTCAAGAAACAAATCAAAGCACAGCTGGTGGAAGGTCCAAACCACCACTACGAGTAGGGAAACAACGCAAACAGAGTCACAACAACAGGGAGCATGCAAGACATTCCAAAAACACCTCCTGAAGGGCCAGGCCCTGGACAGTATATGACCCCTTTTTAATATAGTAGTGCTCGCAGGTATAGGACATATAACAAGCTATTAAAACACATAAAAGAAAACTAGCCAAAATGACAAAACAGAAGAATTCTCCTCAAAAGAAATTCCAGGAAGAAATGACAACCAGAGAACCGCTCAAAACAGATATAAAAAAATGTATCTGAACATGGATTTAGAACAATAGTCATTAAGACTAATAGCTGGGCTTGCAAAAAGCATAGAAGACAGAAGAGAATCTCTAGCTGCGGAGATCAAGGACCTAAGAAAGACTCACAACGAATTAAGAAACGCTATAAATGAGATGCAAAATAAACTAGATGTAGTGACAACAAGGATGGAAGAAGCAGAGGGCAGAATAGAAGATAAAAATATGGAAAATGATGAAACTGAGAGAAGGAGGGACAGAAATGACTAGACCACAAGGGGAGAATTAGAGACCTAAATGATTCAATGAAACATAATAAACCTCATAATAAGGTTTATCTGAACAAGCTATAGCTGAGAACTTCCCTAATCTGGGGAAGGAAGCAGACATCCAAGCCCAGGAGGCACAAGAGAACTGCCTTCAAAATCAACAAAAACATGTCAACACCATGACATATCATAGCGAAACCGCCAAAATACAAAGACAAAAATTCTGAAAGTGGCTAGGGACAAACGGGACTTAATCCATAAGGGCAGACACATAAGGGTAGTAGCAGACCGGTCCATGGAAACGTGGCAGGCCAGAAGGGAGTGGCAGGAAATATTCAATGTGCTGAATAGGACAAATATGCAGCCAAAAATCCTTTATCCAGCAAGGCTGTCATTGAGGATAGGAGAGATAAAGGCTTTCCCAAACAAAAACTGAAGGAGTTCATCACCACTAAACCAGCACTGCAGGAGATCCTACGGGGGAACTCTGTGAGTGGAAAGCAGCAAAGACTACAAAGGACCACAGACATCACCACAAGCACAAAACCTACAGATAACACGACACTAAATCCGTATCTTTCAATAGTCACTCTGAAAGTAAATGGACTAAATGCCCCAATCAGAAGACCCAGGGTATCAGAATAGATAAAAAACCAAGATCCATCTATATGCTGTCTACAAGAGACCCATTTTAGACCTGAGGACACAGGCAGATTGAAAGTGAGGGGATGGAGAACCACCTATCATGCTACTGGAAGTCCAAAGAAAGCTGGAGTAGCCATACTTATGTCAGACAAATTAGATTTTAAGCCAAAGACTAACAGGAGATGAAGAAGGACATTATATCATAATGAAGGGGTCTATCCATCAAGAAGACCCAACAATTATAAACAATTGTAAATAAATATATGAAGCACTCAAATATATAAAACAATTAATTACAAACAACAGCTAACTTATTGATAATAATACTGTAATTGTAGGTGACTTTAATACT